ATCGTGCGGCGCTGGCGGAGCCGCTTCAGCTTGCTTTCGGTATCGATGTTACGTCTGCGCCGTTTCGCAAGCTGTCTCGTGCATTGTTTCACCTCCGGCCTGCTCATGCGTCGCCTGAGCCGTCCTGGTCTTTGGACAGAGTGCTCTCTTTCCTTTCATCTCCTCGTTTCGTTGTGGCCCCTTCGGTCCAGGATTGTTTTTCCAAGGCGCTTTTCTTGTAGGCTTTGGCCTCTGGGGGTCGGGTAGGGGAGCTTCATGCTCTCCTCCGGCGCAGGGGTTTCTGCTCTTTTGGTCGTGGTGATAGTTTTGTTCGTTTGCAGCCGTCTCCTTCTTTTCTGGCGAAGAATGAGACTGCTGCGTTCCGGAGGGGTCCATGGGTGGTTGATGCTTGGTTGGTCAGGCCGGGGGTGCATCATGTTTTGTGTCCGGTTGCGGCGCTTCGCCGTTATTTGCGCGCCACAGCTTCTGTGTCCGGGGACGCGCTGTGGGTTGATCCGGTTTCCCTTCTTCCCTGTTCGCGGGTTCGGGTCTCTCAGGTCGTCCGCAGGGTTATTAGGTCTAGCCAGCCTGCGGTCTATCCCCGTGCCCATGACGTTCGTAAGTTCGCGGCTCTTGCTGCCGTCTTTGGGAATATGTCTTGGTCTGATATTCGGGCGCGGGGATTTTGGCGGTCGAACAGGGTCCTGGCTGCTCGTTACCTTGTGAATGTCCCTGGCCCTCGTCGGGCCTGTGTTGCTTTGGGTCGGCGGTTGCAGCCAGTTGTCTCGGCTTCGAGTTGAGGGGTGAGCGACGACCGCCTCCCGGGTAAGTCCCTCTTTTTCTGTCTGTGGGTAGTTAGCTCCGGGGAGCCGACGGGGCTCCCCCCAGAAAACCAGCGTTGAATGTAATGAAACGCCATTTTCTGGGTGAGTCCCGGAGGCTCCCCGGCATCCCTCCCTCCCTCCGGTCGGCGGTTTTTCGCGTTTTTGACATCCAGCCTCAAGAACTGAGGTGTGGGTAGCCGGCGCGGGGGGTCTGGGGCTCCCCCTTCCCCCTCCCGGGGAGGGGGGAGCTGCGCAGACAGCGGCGCGGCAGTGTGTGACGTCACACTAATTTGCTTGTTTTCGGTTGGGGAGTTCTATCCACTAGTTCGGTATTAGGTAGCAATTTTAACCAGAATAGGGGTTTGTTTTGGGGCGCTTACCTTTCTGGGTGCCTGTTCCGGTCGATGGCAGACATAGAATGCTTCCAACTACACGGGGGCTTCTATAGGCCATTGCTCCCCTTGCCTCTCTGAGGGGGCCCGGTTCTGGCCGTGGTCCCCGGTAGGCCTAAGAACTCCATACACATGACTGATGCCAAAGTCTGACATTAGCATATCAGCCTGGGATAGCTCCGGGGAGCCTCCGGGACTCACCCAGAAAATGGCGTTTCATTACATTCAACGCTGGTTTTTTTGCCCTTGCTGTTTGCGGACTTTGAGGTCGAGCAGTATATGCAGGTGGCTTCTTCTAGCTGTCGTCCAATGTCAGACTTGTTGGTTCTCCGGGGGTCCCAGATGAGTTCCTTCCAGAAGGGTTGTGCCAGGGTCAGGGTTCAGTTCGTCGGGGTAGGCAACAGGTACCAGTTTCGGAGCTGGCATCACCTTCAGCTTTGTGCACAGGTCGGGTTCTCGTAAGGGGCATTGGCCCTTTTGTAGTTCGCCCCATTGACTGGGCGATGGAAGGGAGGCGGCTTGCTCTGATTGCTCACGCCTGGTGTCACGATTTGTGGGCTTTTCAGGTCATTTCTCACGGCCTGTGGTGGCTTTGGGTGGCTCCTCCTCCTTTGGGGGGGTTTGGGGCTGGCGTGGTAGGCCTCTTCTCCTGTGCTCTGTCGAGTCGTCTCAGAGTGGGTGCTCTTGGGCGTGGTCGAAACAATGACATCTCTTAGGTGGGTTTCCCGCCTGCTTCCAGTTCCAAAACGGGACTGTGCGAACCTCCAGTTCATTCTGGACTTGTCCCTTCTGAACCCCTGGGTTTCTTGCCCCACCTTTTGGGTGACTACTGTCCCAGGTCTGGCTTCTGTTGGAGCCGGGAGCTTGGATAGTGTCCCTGGACTTCAACGACACGTATTGGCACATCCTGAATCATCCTGGGTTCAGGACCTGGCTCGGTTTTGTTCTGGGGCGTCAGAGCTACCACTTTCGTTGTCTCCCGTTCAAGTTGAACCTGGCACCTCACGTGTTCAAATGCCTTACCAGGGTTTTGGTGGCCCGTCTGCGTTGTTTAGGTGTTCAGGTGTTAGCTTACCTCGACGACTCACTGGTCTGTGCTCCCAGTCGGTCCTTGTCTGCCCACCAGGGGTTTGGTGCTTTTTCAGCTAGCCGGGTTCGGGTTCTCTGATGAACTGTCGAAAGTCCCATCTGGTCCCCTCCCAGGTTCGGAACTGGCTGGGTCTTGTGTGGGACTCTCGGACTGTTTCCTTCTCTCTCCCTCCGGAGTCCCTCCTTTGGCTCCGGTCCCCACATGTCCTTGTTTGTGGGGGGCTCCCGAGTCACCTGGCAGTTGCTCGAGGGTCTGTGTGGGAGCCTGAACTTTATGATGATGGTCCACCCGTTGGGTCAGATTTGGCTTCGTCGGCTGTTCTCGTTCCTTTGGGAAATCCCTTCCACCTCTCTCGCAATCACCAGCTGTGTCGCCAGCTTCCTCTTCGGATTTTTCGGGGTTCAATGTCTTGGCGCCTACCCGAGCCCTCGCTCGATGTGTTCACAGACGCGTCGTCTCTCGGCTGGGGGCTTTGTGACCAGTGCTCACCAGGCCAGCCAGGGGTGGTGGGGTCCGTCCTTCCGTTGGGCCCACAGCACATTTCGGGAGTTCGCAGCGGTGGGGTTTTTGCTTAGGAGGGTTCGGGTCACCCGCGGATTGATGATCCGGCTCCATTAGGACTGCTCCCTGGTGGTTCATTGCCTGAAGCGAAGGGAAGAGGGGGAGGGGGCTTTCAATGCAGTCCTTGGCTCTTTGGGACTGGTCGCTTCGGATGACTCGTCTTCTGAGTTCTCGGGGTTTTGGCTTTCCTGGCTGTTCATGTCTGGGGGTGTCCAACGTCCTGGCGGATGGCCTGTCCCGGTTCATTCCCCTTTCCACGGAGTGAACAGTCGATGCCGATTCATTCAGTTGGCTCTTCCAGTCGTTCGGGCGCACGGAGGTGGACCTCTTCGCGTTGGTATGGTCGAGGTGTCTTCCGGTATATGCGGCGCCCTTCCCAGAAAGCGAGGTCATCGGGATCGATGCCTTTCAGCAGAACAGGTCGAGGTAGGGGTTCCTGTACCTCTTCCTTCCCCGGTTCATCTGTTGCTCCAGGTCCTAACTCACTTGGAGACTTCCCATGGGTGAGTAGTTTTCTTGGCCCCATGGTGGCCGGTCCAGCCTTGGTTTCGGTCAATGCTTGCTTGGTGTCCAAACCCAGAGGTTTTCCGGTGGCTCCGCCTCTTTCAATAAATTGGTCTGGTCCGTTACAAGACTGGTTCGCTCTTCTCCCCAAGACTTCACGTTTGGTCTTTTTGACTCGAGTCTATCACATCTGTATGGTGATAGGGTTACTTCTTTGGTGGTGTCCCACCTGCGGGCTTCGTCTCGGCAGCAGTATGAAGTTTCTTGGCGGTTCTTCTGTTTCTCTTTCTCTCTTCGTCACTGTACGTCACTTTCTGTTAAGGTTGTTTTATCCATTCTCCTGTGGCTGTTTCAGGTCATCTTATGCTGAATACTGTGGCCTTGTATAGTGCGGCGCTGGCCGAGCCACTGCAGCTTGCTTTCAGTATTGTTACTTCTTCACCATTTTGCAAAGTGTCTCATGAGTTGTTTCACCTGTGGCCTGCTCATGTGCCACCTGAGCAGTCCTGGTCTTTGGACAGAGTGCTTTCGTATCTGTCTTCGCCTCAGTTTGTTGTGGCCCCTTTGGTTCAGGATTGTTTTTCCAATTTTTTTTTTCCCATAGGCCTCTGGGGGTCAGGTTGGGGAGCTTCATGCTCTCCTCCGGCATAGGGGTTTCTGCTCTTTTTATCATGGCGACCGCCTCCCGGGTAAGTCCCTATAGTTTTCGTCTTTGGTGAAGTAGCTCCAGAGAGCCGAGGGGCTCTTCCCAGAAAACCAGCGTTGAATGTAATGGAACCCCATTTTCTGGGCGAGACCCGGGGGCTCCCCGGCAACCCTCCCTCCCTCCCTCCCTCCCTGCGGTCTGTGTTTTTTCCACGTGTTTTTGACATCCAGCCTCAGAAGTACAAGGTGGATCACTGGCGTGGGGGTCTGGGGCTTCCCCTCCCGGGGAGGGGGAGCTGCACAGACATGTGGCGCGGCTCGTGTGACATCATGCTCACTTTCTCGTTTTCATTTGGGGAGTTCTGTCCACTCGTTGGTCTATTTTAGTCATTTTAACTGGAATAGGGGTTTGTTTTGAGGTGCTTACCTCTCTGGGTGTCTGTCCCGGTCAGTGGCAGATAAAGAATGCTCCAGATCCCATGTGCATTCCTATAGGCCATTGCTTGTCATGCCTCTGAGGGGGGGGGGGCAGGTTCTAGCTCATGGTCCCCGGTAGGCCTAGAACTCCATTCTCACTGACTGATGCCAAAGTCTAATGATATACATATCAGCCTGGATAGCTCCGGGGAGCCTCTGGGTTTTTGAGGACTTTAATGGACCTGGAAGATCTTAGTGAATGGACATATGTTACAATTAGTTAAATTAGGAATTATCCCTCAGAATTTTACTTCAATAACATTTCTTCACCTCACTAGGACCAGTTTATAATAAGTAGAATTTTTTGTATTTTTTAATATAGAAAGAACAAATTATTCCTTTATATTATGCATTTCAGAATATCGACTTAATTTTAGGTATAGAGTTAGGGAATAATGTATTTGTAATAAATATTCAGGGACGAGTATTATCCATTCTGTTAATGACTATTTTATATTTGTTCATATTTTTATTAGGAACAGGTTGACAGTTTTTCCACAACTTTTTAATATATGTATTTACGGGTAGCCACCTTCCCTTAGAACTACAGTGTGGTTCATCACTAAGCAGCCTGTGTGAAGATGTAGCAGATGTTTCCTTGCATTCCAAGTCAAGGTAAGGCCAATGGCTTCAATTTGATAGTCATTGTTTTTTTTTGTTATGTCATTATGCTCATATTACATACATTATCATTATCCTGTTTGTCACTGTTGAAGACTTCATGGATTATGTGGGGTACCATATTTCAGGTAAAGAGTTTACCCCTTCTCACAAAAATGTGGCTACTATAATGGACATCCCAGCCCCTACATCAGTGGGGAAGTATAGTCTTTCTTGGGGATGGTAACTTATTTATGCAATTTTAAGAATTTTTGAACAAAATTAGCTCCCTTGTATGAATTGTTTAAAAAATCTAGCGTTGAATGTAATGAAACACCATTTTCTGGGCAAGTCCCAGAGGCTCCCTGGAGCTATCCAGGCTGATATGTTTATCCCTAAACTTTGGCATCGGTGTGAATGGAGTTCTAGGCCTACCGGGGACCATGGTCAGAACCTGGCCCCCTCAGAGAAGCACGAGGAGCAATGCCCTATAGAGATACACATGGGATTTGGAGCATTCTATATCTGCCGTCAACAGGGACAGGCACCCAGAAAGGTAAGCGCCTCAAAACAAATCCCCATTCTGGTTAAAACGACGAAGATAGACTAACTAGTGGACAGAACCCCCCAAATGAAAATGAGCAAACAAGCACGACATCATACGAGCCGCGTCCCATGCCTGCGCAGCTCCCCCCCTCCCCGGAAGGAGGAGGTGGAAGCCCCGGACCCCACATCGGCGATCTGCCCACCAGTACTGAGGCTGGATGTCAAAAACATGCGAAAAAAACGCTGACAGAAGGGAGGGAGGGTTGCCAGGAAGTCTTCAGGACTCGCCCAGAAAATGGCGTTTCATTACATTCAATGCTGGTTTTCTGGGGGAAGCCCCCTTCACTAAAGACGAAAACAGAGGAACTAACCCGGGAGGTGGTCGGTTGGAGCAGCAGCGCTGTGCGCTGCTCCTGCATGCCATTGCTCGCTCTCTAAGGGCATGCAGGCTCTCACAGTCGGCATGGATGCTGATGATTTTTTTTTAAAAAGTGCGTCTGTTTACAGGAGTCCTGAGGAATAGGGTGTGAACCCTGTATACCTGCAGGAGTTTTGAATCGCTCCCTATACATAAAAATGCCATATGGCACTGCGCACCCCCAATTGGGTGCCTCAAGGCGCTTTGTGCAGCGCAGTGGTTAATTAAGCAGGAATTGGTAAATTCTCCTGTGCTCACTAATTTTATGGGCAAATACCCTTTAAAACTAGGAGTAGATGCTTTCCCAGTGGAAGGGACTGTGTTTTGTTACATGAAATAGATGGTCAGGAAAAGGCTGTCTTTATTTTGTACCTGGATGGGGTTCTGGGATGTTGTCTACTCCCCAAGCCTGGTCCAGGGCAAGGTTTGACTTTAGAGCTTGGTCCAAAAGATTGTTGTTAGGAGCAGCCTACAAGCCCACAGATCCAACACAGCCTGATTGGTCCGGCACTTCCTGAAGAAAACTATTCAGTTTTCTCTTGAAGATGTCTGCGTTTGTTTCCAGCAATATTTTGCTAGCTAGAGTGAAACAAAACAGACAACAACAAGGTAAATCTAAACAAAATTTCTAACCCTCTTATTCTGAAAGCCCGAGAAAATACTGAACTAAATAAAGTACATCTTTGGCTAACTGCTAACAAACTCTCAAACTCACCCTTAACATTGATAAAACCTTCCCTACAGTGCATCCTCACTCTAACGAGTTCCCGGATGGTCCGAACGAATTGCATTCAATTCTAAATGTTCATTGGAACAAATGTGCGATTAAGTGAGGATTATTCGTCCAAGCGGTCACAGAGACTGAGTCAGAATTATTTTATCCATGTTAGAAGTTTACCTGTCACCCCTCCAATATTTTCCAGTTTCCAGAACAAACTTATGTGGAACTCTGTCGAAAGCCTTTTTTAGGTCCAGATAGATGCAGTCAACCCAACCATCTCTTTCCTATAAAATCTCTGTGGCTCGATGATAGAAACTCGGTAAATTTGATACACGGGATCTTCCAGATCGAAAACCATACTGTCTGTCTGATATTATATCATTTCTCTCCACGTGTTCTACCCATTTAGTTATTACTTTTTCCAATATTTTGACTATTACACTTGTCAATGATACAGGTCTATAATTGAGGGGTCTTCTCTGTCGCCACTTTTGTAGATTGGAACTATGTTAGCCTTTTTTCCACATATCTGCTACAACTCCTGTATACAGGGATGTCTGAAAAATCAGCTGAAGTGGAATGCTGAGCTCAGGGTGCACGTTCTCTCAGAACTCATAGTGAAACTCCATCTGGGCCACTGCTTTGTTCATACTTAGCTCCAAGAGCATTTGTTTCACTTCGTCTCTAGACACCTCTTTGTGCTCTATGCTGTTCTCTGGAATTCTTATTTTGTCTGGTTCTCTGAAGATCTCATTTTGTACAAACACACGTTGGAACTTTTCGTTTAATGTTTCACACATTTCCTTTTCATTTTCCGTGTATCTGTTCCCCGTTTTCAACCTCTGAATATTATCCTTTACCTGCAGCTTGCTTATTAATGAATTTATAGAAGAGGCCTGGATCTGATTTACATTTGTCTGCTATACTCTTCTCAAAGTTCCTCTCTGCCTCTCTCCCTATTGAAGTGTAGTTGTTTCTTGAATCTTTGTATCATTGGTATGTTTGGGGGTTTGGTCTCTTTCTATAATGATTCCATGCTTGTGTCTTTTGATCTCTGGCCCTCTCGCAATTTTTGTCGAACCAACCCTGTTTCCTAGGTCTGCATGCTGTTTGGGTATGAATGTTTATATTTTGCAAAATTTGGCATACATCTCATTTACTTACTTGCCTAGCAACAAGTCTGTCCAATTATACCCATGAAAAAAATTTCTAAGTTCCCCATAGCGTCCTCTCTTGAAATAGAGTTTAACAACAGTTTCACTGTCCCCATTCTCTGCTAAATTATATCGCATAGGTATTTAATGTCCAAGAAGACGTGATCACTTTCCCAAGGGAGGAAGGTACTGGATGTCAAATACCTCTTCTTCTTTCCTGGTGAATACTAGATCCAGTACTGATGGAACATCCCCTTCCCTCATTCTTGTGGCCTACTTGATATGTTGATACATGAATGTCTCCAAGATGAGGTTTACAAATCTGCCTGTCCATATGTCCTCTGTTCTTGCCTCTTAGGCCTCCCAGTCTATTACCTTAAAGTTGAAGTCCTCCCCAGAACCAACAATCGGGATTTATATTTGTCAGCTCTTATCATAATCTCTCATGATTACATGATAATGTGCAGATTCCTAAGCCTACTGGGCTCTATCATATCTATATTTGAAACTGTGTATGAAGTCGGCCTCCACCACATCACTTCCTAGTGCATTCCATTTATTAACTACTGACACAAAAAAAATCTTTCTAATGTCCCTGTGGTTCATCTGGGGTACTAAGTTTCCACCTGTGTCCCCTTGTTCGTGTTCCACCCGTGCTGAAGAGTTTGTCTCTCCCCCACTGAAGAGTAGGGGAAAGTTTCTACTTCTGTTCAGTTTTTTGTTTTAGTTTTTTACCATGTTGGGTTTATTTTATTATGCCTACCTTTCTGGGTGCCTAATCCCGGTCGATGGCAGATAAGGAAAACCCCAACCACAAGGGGGTTTTCCAGGGCCACTGATCCCTGAAGCCTCTCTGAAGGGGCCAGGTTCTGGCACTGGTCCCTGGTAGGTCTGAACTCCTTAGCTAATGTCCCGGTCTAATATAACATACATTAGCTTGAAAAGCTCCAGGGAGCCGTAGGGGCTCCCCACAGAAAAGTATTTTTATAGCTCTTATTATTGTAATAATGTTGCTAAACTAAATATATAACCCAAAAATATATAATTTGATGTAAATCCAATATTTGAGAGAAATTTATGTTACTGGAAATCGAATTTAACACCATGCTTGTTTTGTTCTTTTTTGTTGCCACAGTTCAGTGACCTACGGCTTCGAAATATTAAAAATAATAAATCAGTTCTAAAATAAGTATTTTTTATAGCTCTTATTATTGTAATAATGTTGCTAAACTAAATATATAACCCAAAAATATATAATTTGATGTAAATCCAATATTTGAGAGAAATTTATGTAACTGGATCTGGCTTAACTTTTAAATGGTGCATAGCTATACTGTATACCATTTGACACCCACAGGCGCATACCAAAAAAAAAAAAAAAAAAAATATTTTTTCTTCCTAACCTGTTAATTTGTGTTCACTGATCACGGGAAAAATAATACAAAAATAGTAAGTGGCATATATTGCCCACTATAGGGCGGGGAAGTGTGGCAAAAATCAGGCGCTGACTCAGCGTGCGTCCCCAGGCAGTCTGTTGATCGCCAGCTGTCAGGCCAGAGTTTCCACAAAGAGATAATTACCTAATTATTTCAATGTCTCTGATTGATTTTTCGTAGTTTTTTTGCTGTAATATTATTCAATAGTGTGTAGTGTGATATATTTATATAATAAAATGAGTGAATCATCGCTGTACTCAAAAATATGGTGTGCATATTGTTGATTCAATTATGTTCATCAAACAGTGAACAAATACTTTGTTGGTTATTACACTATATAGACAGGTTATATATAAGTATCTGCATGTTTTGTTCACCATGACAAACCACTAAGTTGGTATGCTGAGTGGCAGTGGCAGGCAGTGACTGGCTGCCACTGGCTGCCACTCCCTCCCTCACCTCACCTCCCTCACCTCACCTGACTTGCCACCATTCTCCACCCACCATACTGTTTTTGCTTTTATATACAGACATTATATATAAGTATTTACATGTTTTGTTCACCATAACTGTACATCTAAGCTTGTATGGTGAGTAAAGACGTAGCTACTCACACAGTCAGCTGGTGGCGGCCGCCCTCAAGGCCAGACGCACTAATATTTCTCCTACAACAATACTGTTTGTGGTGTTATTACACTATATACACACATTATATATAAATATCTACCTGTTTTATTCAC